TTGATGAGAGGTGGAAGTCAAAATGATCGTAACTGGCTAGCGACTAAGGTCGAAGGGAACATTTTCGGATGAAGAATGTTCGAGGGATTATAGTCGTCCGACGAAGGAGGTTGAAAGGGCCATATTCGGTGAGCGGCGAAAAATAGAGAGACCGTAATCAGAGTTCAAAGGGATCGTAGTTGGGTAACGATGGTCGAAGAACTGTAGTTGGGAGATGATGGTCAGAATAACTATAGTTGGCGGGCGTCGGAGGGATTATAGTCGAGCAATAAAGGTCGGAGGGATTGTATTCAAGCGATAGGGGTTGAAGGGACCGTAGTCGGTAATAGTGACCTTAACTCCTTAAGACCATGGTTGGGTGATTGTGATCTAAGGATTGTAATGGGAACGATAGTAATTGGGTGATGAGGTATCATAGTTGGGTGATGGTCGTCCGAAGACCATAATCGATAGGCAAGGTAGGTCGGAGGGATCTTAGTTGGATGACAGTGGTCTTAGGAATATAACTGGTGGGCAATGAAGGTCAAAGTAACCTTAGATGGGCGACGAAGGTCCAAGGGATCGTAATCGGGCAAAAAGGTTAGAGGGACTATAGTTAGGAGACTAGTGTCAGAGGGACCATAGTCGAGTGACAGTGATTCGAGGACCATAATCAGACGATGGTGGTCTAAGGACTTTAGTCAAAAGGACAATAGCTAGGTGACGATGGTCAAAGGGACCATATACATGCAACAGTGGTTTGAGGATCGAGATCAAAAGGATTATAGTAATGTGATGATTGTCGGAGGGACCATAGCCGGGCAACAGTGGTCCAAGGGTGGTAGTTTGTTGAGGAAAGGTTCAACGTCGGAGGTAAGGTAGTTCTCAGCCAATGAAAGTCCATTGGCAGCCATTAGTAGGCAAAAGTTCTGCGACGACAATTAGGTGGCAAGGTCCGATGAGCACAACCAGGAAAAAGAGGCTCGACGACAACGGTTGGCCAACGAAAGTTTCAATTGCACCCAAGCACAGGTTTGGCGATGGTAGCCAGAAGGAGGTCCGACAGCGAGGGTTCGTTTGCATTGTTGCCCTCTTGGAGCTTTGGGATTCTTCAAATCTCATAGTTCTCTTGAGTCTTTAGCCAAGGGTCCAAGCCTCTCTCATGCAAAAAGTCAAAGCCTATTTATATATTTTTAGGAGTGACATGCTTCGTAAATATGACAAAGATTTAAAGCAAATTAGGAGTGTTCCATCGGTTGGTCTGTATTCATGCCCCAATTATATATTGTTTCTTCAGCATTTATGTATCTTAATGTTGTCGAAATTAAGAAATCATGGGCTTGTTGGATTTGTCTCGTTAAGCCGCTCGATCGACTATATGCCTTCAAGCTTCGAAATATTCTTCAGGTCATCTATTTGAGCCCATTTGGGGTTGGATTGGATCAATATAATTTTGATGTTGTTGGTTTCATCATGTTAAAAAGTTTAGTTTCATAATAAATTTGCTGAAATTGGAATTTGATGTTCCCAAATTAAGTTTTATTTGTAACGATTTTTTTACTATTTTTTAAAGCATCTTTCAAATTCAAAATTTTATTTAAAAAATTTTTGTCCTAAAAGTTATTTTAAAATAGTAAAAAAAAGCTATCCCAAACGAAATCTCAATCTAAAAATTTTTCAACTTAAATATACTTCAATTCGTGCCGGTTAAAACTTTTTTTTTTTTTTTGACCTATGACGTAGTATATAAATTACTTCAAACGACTAAATCCAACAAAATCTTTCTTTCTAATTTTTTTTATGTAAAAAAAAATTCTATCGGTCACTTTATTTGTTTATATAATTATGTGTGAACTTTATCTCTCTAAATTTCTGCCGACATAACTTTTCGCATATTTCAACAATAATCAAAATTACAAAAGCAGAAAAAACACGTCGTCCTGACATGCAATATTTTTGCATCAGCTTGCAATTATCATTTAATTCCTTACATAATTATTTTCTAAAAATAAATACTTTAGTCATACCAAACAAAAGGAATTGTCTCGCAGCTTAGAATGACACGTCCTTATCTTAGAACAAGTTACTCCCAACATATTATTATATAACCGAAATCATATTATTTTGAGGTAGACGGAAGCTTATTCCTCCACCTTTTTATATTACGAATAGGGCTATTAAAAATGGATACGGAACATAAATCTGAACTAATATTTTTAGGTTAGTTTCGACCTGTTTGAAAAACGGATAGGATTCAGGTCTTGATTTTCTTGATTTTCAACCTATTTTAAGTTTCGGATCAGGTTCTGATCAACACGACAACCCCATACTAACCCGAATTGACCCGTATATACACTGTACAGTTGACCCCCATGAGAATTGAGATATTTCCATCTTCATCGTCTTCGAAGACGGCGAACACATGGTAGAACTTGTTGCTAGCAACTTGTTCATCGAGCGTTGTCAGGCTGATGACCCTGAGCTCATCCAAAGTGATGCATCCATCGTAGTCACGATCGATCTCCACCACCATGGAGCTCCTACTTTGTGGCCTTGCCGTCATCGTCAATCTCCGCCACCATGGAGCTTGTGCTTCGTGATCTTGCAATCGTCGTCAAGCTCGTGCTTAGAGATCTTGTCCTCATTGCCGCAATCAAAGATGATGAATAGGTCATCGACAGCGATGGGGAGAACGTCGCTCGGGGTTAGGATTTCTTACGACAAAAAAAGGCGGGTCTTGTCGGGTTGACCCGAACCCAAGGCAGGTCAAGTTCAAGTTTGAGAATATAACCCGTTTTGAAAAACAAGTCGGATTCAGGTCGGGTCAGATAATGCCTGGATCAGTCTCTAGTTGGACCTGAACCCGACTCGAAATCCAATTTTGACAGCCCTAATTATGAATCGTCTCATAAAAGTTGAAATTTAATGATAATTAAATAATAATAAAGAAAATTAGGATCAGAAAGTGAGCCGTAAATGTCCTTTTGGTAGATGGATTTCGCCATATAATAATAAGGAAGATAATATAAATATTAATCGAATGCCATTCTGTGATAGGCCGAGCAGGTAAGTACATTTGAATTAGAAGAATTTGGCTGAAGTGGAAGGAGATGTGGGCCTACTTCAGATCCACTTTGATCACGCTTGGCCAATATTTTGTTTGTTTATTTTTCTGAAGAGATTTGAGCCGTTGCGATAGTTTGGAAAAGTTGGGAGGACATTGTAACGTAAACACTTGCGAATGGGATAGATATTTTGTTTGGAGTT